CAAACGCTTTGACCTTTCTTCTAACACGTATTATGATTGATTTGTAAATTTTCTTTGATGCATTTAGTTGATTTAGCTCAGTTAGGTTTGCATAGGCAAATGGAAATTCACTTCTACACCAATCAGCGTACGCGTTTTATTGTATTTATTGTATAATGATTAATATGACAGCTACGGGGTTGTGAAAGTTTGAGAATGTTTGAATTTAAATGTAGAATATCACTGGTCGACAAAGATGCGTGGCAAGATCAACAAAAACAATGCGCATTGCATATTTGGTCAAGATACTTAGATCGGCGAAAAATAATAATTAGCTCGAACATTGCAAAAGAAATAAACTTGAGTTTGTTGAAATAAGTCATTGATTTGAGGAGTAACTTACGAAGACTGGAAACTAGTTAGCTATCTCTACGGACTACGTAAAAGAATGCGTGTCAACATATTGTTGGTCAATCAAAGTCTGGCAGCCATTTTTTAGGTCAAGAAAATGGAGTTTTTGTTATTGTACAAATGCAACTTAGAACAAACGACAATACGTAACTACTGTAAACTAGAGTTTTTAAGTAAATTTGAAAACTTGTGATATGAAATGGCGTCTTTTCCTAAGCGTGGACGGCCAAAATTTGATGTTCAATAACATTGCATTCGTTTACGGATGGACGTATGTATACAAAGAGTGGTTAAAACAAAAAAAACTTTGCTGGATGGGCAGAACAGACGCACAGTGAATTTGCTTCTCCTTTACATGAAATTTTGGATGAAAAGAAACGTGTAGTTTGTCCTACACCAATAATATCAGTGGCGGATAACTAATTACGGGGCCTGTAGGCTACGAAAAAGCTGTGGGTCTTTAAGTAATATTTGTTCCTCCAAATAAGTTCAGTATTTTGATGTCGTTTGCGTTTTTTGCGTTCCATTGCTTTTGCATTTCCTGTCTTCTTTTTGTAACTCATATGGTGTAAACATTAAGGAACAAATTTAAAGTTCAAACTGAGTAAGTCCCATGCACTTTATGAGTTTTGTGCAATAAGCATTCAAACAGCAGATCGTAAAGTTTCCAGCAGCATATATGGTCGAACTTTAGAACAAAAAGGCGAAAGGTAAAATATGTCTAAATACAACGAGCGTCTTGAAAAGGCGGGTCTGTAGGCTTCAGCCTACTTAGCCTACTGCATTTGTAAAACGCCACTGCGTGTATGCAGTCAAAATTCTTTTATCTCATTTCAATATTTATTTGTTCAGTATAAAGCAAAATATGCGATGTTTACAAAGATGCTGAACTGTTTTGTAAAATGCTGTTGTAGATCGAATAAATGTATTTATCTACCACAAATTTGACAGGAAACTGATTACTTTTAAATATTTTGTTCACAGAAAGAACTCTGCAAAAATTAATTTTGAGATCATCATGTCGAACACATTTATTTATTTTATTTGTAAAGTAAATAAAGACATGGAAAACGTCCCGACCTGTATGTAATGTTGGAAATCAACAAAAATGCATTTCTCAGAATCATATAAACGCTCACAAAGCAATTTAGAACTAAATTATTTTCTAGCTACTTTATAATGTTCGAAATACATAAAGGAGCCCCTATATTAAAAATCTCTACTTTTTGATACTGAAAACAACTTAGATTGGTCTTATTTTTGGGCAGCATTTCCATAAAAACAACATTTTTCTATCAAATATTCCATAGATCAGAGGATTTAACGCGTGTGAGCCAAAAAGACGGAGAACATAAACAACATAAAGATTAGTGATGAATTTGATGGAACAGTGTTGTTTATATAGAGCACGTCTACAACCAAAAAACAAGCGTGACCCACTGTGAAGCAGAGAACTCTGTTGACACAAACAATAAATGACTTACTATGCCGAGTATATCTTTAAAGATTGTAGATGAAAATGTGTCTGATTGGAGAGTGTTCGTAGTGCTTTTTTTTGTTTAATAAAGGTGTGAACGATTATGGAGTAAGTCACAGTCATGAAGATTATTAGTACGGCAAAATTTGAACCATTTTTTAGCTGTTGACTGGTATTGCGTTTTTGTGCCACCACGCCATGTGTTTAGAATAATGTTTACTGTCTCCGAAGAAAACCTTTTTACTTGTAGTTTACCCTGGGTACAAGACAGTTGAGAATGTTCAGTTTCTTTGTGTAATGGGTGTTTGAGATTGGGTTAAATAGGAAGAATCAGTAAGTCGGTTTTCGGTGGTAGACATCGAGGCGGTTTCTTTAATATTTGTACCAACAATGGGTACCAACACCGAGTTGGCCAGTCCAGAAAAAGTTTAAATTCCCCTGTCCTTTTCTTCTATTATCTAGCGGAAAAATAGCATGTAAGGATCTGGTCTATAAGAAATGTAGCGACCAAATTGACGATTTAAGCGAGATGCAAACAGATCAATGTCAGGAAGGAAAGCAAAATGCGTCAGAGCTGGGGACATATACGTCAGATTAAGCCTCAATTCAGGGTCAACATTTTTACTATGCGATTCTTTATCGGCGATCACATTGTGCCTCTATGGTATAAACGCATCCGTTAACCACATATTATTTTGTTCACATAATAACCAAGTGCTACCGGTGTGTGTGCCTTTATCAATCATAGCTTTTACAACTTTGTTAGCATGAAAATAATAAACAATTTATAAACCAAAATAGGCAGCTAGAGTTAGAGATAGTTCATATGCTTCGACTTTTCCTCGTTAGTCCAGAATCGACCAGTTCTTTGGTTCCACAATACACCACCCCAACCAGAAAGTGATGCATCTGAGTGAGCTACTACATCTATAGCTGGAGTATGAACGAAATTATTTGCATTTTGAGTTTAAAAGAGCACAAATTCGAGAAGCGATTTTGGAAATTTTTTCCGAAGTTAACTGCATTTTCATAGTTGTCGAGTCTAACGCAAATCCCAAAAACACAGTTTCATTTTGCAAGATAAAGGAAGATTTTTCCACGTGAATGACAAAACATAAACTTGAAAACAAGTCAATAGCCTCTATTTTCGTTGTAAAATAGCGAGGAAAGTTATTTACCTGTAAATCTATTGACGAGTATGTTGTCATAGTTGGGAAGTAATGGTTGTTGAAATTTTTGTTACTGGAAAGAGAAGTGACCCCTTCCCGTTCAGGAGAAAACATTAGTTCGCTTCGTGGGTTGGTATGGCGCAAAACGTGGGCGTGATTTGAAATCGGAGGTTAGCATCTTGCCTTGCAATTTGGCATTAGTCATGGTTTTATTACGGTCATTAGACAACAGAAATTCCACAGGTTTATTTGAGCGGTTACACATTGGATTTCATCCGCTACTAAGAACCGAACGAATTGAATCTCGACGTTTGTACGAAAGTTCTAAGTTGATATGCCCTAATAAGGTAACGGCATCAAAGAGCCTAGTCGTAATGGCGCAAAAATCTGGGAAAGGCTTCGTCTCTCTAAATTTTAATAAATCATCCACAGTAACTGAGAGTGAAATTGTCACACGCAAAATACAATCTTGTAAAACTACAGTGCGCAAATCTCGCTGAAGATGGAAAATTTGAGTTATCTTACACATCAACAGTAGAAATATTTTTGTTTTTGCGCAAAGTTTATAAAACGCTAAGTAATTTAATGTTTCTGACATGGTATTTTCAATTGTAGAGAACACACTAATTAAAGAAGAGCTTTTAGTCGGAAACTCAATAAGTCGGGCGTCAAGTGTGACCTCGCAGTCACACATCATTTTACTAAAAAATCAAAGCGTAAATACAACTAGACAAAAGAAACTTAGCTTCTTAAATTCCAAGGTTAGATAGATGTTTTAATCGAAAAAAACTAAAATCCACAAGAAACGATAACCAACGCATGTTCACCGATTCACATGTACAGCACAACTGGTTAATTCATGTGCAGTGATCTCCTTCTACAACTATAGCTAATGACGTAATAGTATTATATTCTTTAGAAAGTCAAAACAAATAGCGTTTTTCTAAAGGTAATTTGAATTTAAAATTGGCAGCTATAATTTATTTTGACGAACGCTGGATTCGCCATTGCAGCGTCGGTCCTAGATTGTAGCTAATATTTCTCTATCGAGTTTGATGTCAGTTTTTAATTGACCACATGAGCATTGATTGTGAGTTTTATCAATAGAAAGTGAAACACTTTCGTCATTAGTGTTTTCTTGGGCTGTTGTACTAATAAGATCTCTTTTACTAAGATTTCTTCCTTCTTCCATATGAGATATAGTATTATCAGATGCTACCTTAACAATTAAAACATCGCAAAACTGCTGCTTAATTCTGCTATTTTTTTTTCGCAAAAAGCTAAGCTTTTTTCTTTTCTCCACCACATTATTTTCATATCGCCATTACTGTAAGATTTTCTCTCGTCTCTAGTATATTTCCATGTACCATTTAAGTAAATATATGCATTTAAAGAAAGAGTTTTAACAATTGAAAGTCTCCAGTCCAACACAGTTTCAAATTATTGATGAAATCATGCCGTTTATCGTTATTACCACAAGTCGATCGTTTAAGATCTTTTTCTTCTTCAAGAAATTGAATATTTTGTCGAAAGGAGAGTTGGTTGAAGAGCTTAATATCTTACAACCCGGCGCGCCATGTTTGTGGTGAATACCATTGTGTGCCTTTTCAATATTTTTAATAACTTACATCAAATTGTCGATTGAAATGTTTAGAAAACTCCATGGTTTTTTTGAATTTGAGATACGCAAAAAATTGGAACGATGACACTAAGGCCCACTTTACCCTTCTCAAATGGTTAATTAAGGCTCATTTTCATGAAGTTAGGTAGGACATATCACAACTAAAGATACAAAAGCGAATATAATGCTTATTGAATTCGCACATACAAAATAGCTCCGGGCGGTGAGTTAGGTAACCATCCTTAAAAATATTTAAATTGATAACATATTTCTTCATCGTGTAGTGCTCTATAAAAAGGCCAAGTCTACATTCAATCTTCATTCGTCAGCAAACTGTAGAGAAGTAAAGAAGACAGGTCAGACAATTCACTATGAAGATTACTTATCTTGTTTTTGCTCTTTGTTTGCTTTGTACTGTTGCTTATGCAGCCATAATTCCCGACGAAGAAAAGCTCAAAGATGGGACTTTAAACGGTATGAAAACGTTCTTCCTACATGTTCATTTAGAAGACTTGAAGCTAGGTATTCCATGCATTATCCGTCATAAAACGTTTCATGAAAGCAAGTTTTGTTTCGTCTAGAATCTGACGAAGAAACGTCCCCAGAAAAAAGCATGGAAAAGGAACTACAAGAAACTGTTGATGAAGATAACCTGTTGGAAGATGAGTGAGTAAGATTTTGTAAGTGATTAACCATGTTTTGAATTGGTAGTGAAGTGTCTTCTTATGTTTTCATAAGACTTACTATCAAAAAGCTTTGGTTTGTAAATTTTTGAAGGCAAACTCCTCAAATTAAACACCATAACAGAATCTTAAAATTGTCTTGCGAAAAAGAATAAACTTATTTACTTGATAGGAAATGTAAACTTACGAAAAATATCTACACACGAAACTATCAGGGATAAGCTACAATTGTCGAAGTTAAACCTATTAAGCTCATCTCTTAAGCTCTCGCTATTTATTAACAAACGCACAGTAAATAACTTGCCAATATGATGGGAAAACTTTCTCTTCGTGCATACTGCTCAATCGGAAGTCTCTTGAACCTTTCAGTATTTCCAAAACGCCCTCACTTAGGTTGAATATTACTTGACTGTACTTGTGTACTCCAATTATACAAAATGAGAAAATTTAGCTACTTTTAAGATTTCTCACAGTTTAAACGACAAAATTGGTGCCGTTTCGAGGGGAAAATATTCTTTACAATAAAAAATATCGCCAGCAGCTTGTCTTTCTAAAATAATTTTTTGACTTTTATCAGAAGCCGATGTTTTCAACCAATCGATCAACAAACCTAAGCTAGCATTGACACTATATTTTTATTTCTTGACGAACGTTCGGTGTTGTTTTGATTGATTTCATCCAATAATATATTTTTTCCAAAAATAATCTCCCTATTACAAATAAAGATAAGCTTGAATGCAAATCGATTATTGTTAGTGATAGGAAGTATTTCAATACATTTCTGCTATCACATATTTAAACACGTATCATGTGTTAACATTTTTTGTCATTTTGATGTCATGTAAGTGCAGTTTGATCTTTTTTTGTAATTAATATACAACATAAAATTTATTACGTTTTTCCCTTTCATTTAATTCACCGGCCGAGTAATGCGCCAAGAATGTACCAAACAGCAATGCAAATAATGCAAAACAATGCAAATAAGTACTAAATTGGACCAAATAGAAGCACTGTACATTGTATTAAGTATACAAGTTTCTCGTATTGTTTGCCTAAAATAATGTTTTTGAACGGGTGCATAGGTCGATTGTACCTGTTACAAGTAATTTACGTTCGAACACGTTCACATATTAAAAGTTAACAGTACTACAGCGTAACTATTATGTCAAAAAAAACTACTGCACATTTTGGAATATATTGACATTTCAAAAACCTTTAGAGACAAGTTTATTGGTAGAATTATATGCTTTAGAAGTTGAAAACACATTGTTTTTCAGAAAGGAGCTAATTTAATTTTAAAATTGAGCATCTATAATTTATATGGACGAACGCTGGATACTCTAATGGTGTTAAGCCGCTGAGCAAGTATTGATGCTTTTCACGTTAGCCATGAAAAAGGTCTGATACTAAGAGCATTTTTGAATGATAAATCCGAAAAGATTGACCGCATGCCTGGCAAAATTTTGATTTATGATAAATCCGAAAAGATTAAGTGCAAATCAAAAATTTAATTCTATTCACTGTCCAAAGTTTGACGTATATAATATGTTAAGTTTGATAATTATGACTGTAAGTATTACAAACCACACCGGCTAAGATATGAATCACACGCGAAAACCACACGATTACTGTTTTTAACGTAAATTGCTTAAGAGCTATTTGCCACAACCAGTTTAGGCAGAACGATGACATTGATGGATTCGTTTAAGCAGAAAATCAGACCAATAATATCACTTGTACATATCTCGTGGTTACAAAACTTAAAAAGCAACAGGAAAATTTTGCTATTTGTTTTATAGTTTTGTGGAAGAGAACTCTTCATAAAAGTAAACTGTCGAAAACAGTTTATTAATAGCTAATAGCGTTCATTAGAAATGAACTTTTTGTAAGCTCCAAAATACAAAACATCATTACACATTAAGTCACGGCAAATTTTTAAATGTCCTCTTTCTTAAGTCCGTAAAACTTTTCGATGTAATAAAGGCTCGTGTCGGTCATAGTATTGATATATTGAAGTAAGTGCTATTTTTCAATGAAAAGGAGAGAAATATAACTCAGAACGGTCTAAAGTCGTATCGCTTGTTGAGCCTAAACAACAAATCCGATTGAATTCAGAGCTGTACAAATATAAAACCAGCATGAATATAAACTCAAATTAACATTCACACCGGTTTGAAAATGACACAAGGCATGCGCTTTAAGTACAAAAGCAAATAAGCAATAAAATGTAAAAATATCCTGCTAAAGGAGTGTTACACTGATGAGGATTTTTTATTATTTCGTGCAGGTTCCGTGTTGACATTCCAAAAATTCCGATTTTCATTTTGGTTTAACATCGTTCCGGTCTCATGTAAACAGGGCCTAGCTTACGAATAAAAAAAGATATGAATGAATTAATTTCGAAAGTCCCGTGACATTTGAAGAGTTCTGCTCGATAAAAATAAAACTTAGATAGAAAACTTTCGTCTTACTACCTATTTCATCCACATCAACAATCATTAAAAACACTTTGTAGTACGTTGCACTACTTAGTAAAGACGCAAAATTGACGGGCATTAAACATTGCTTTCTGTAGGGTCGACGAGGAAGCTAATCCAGATCTAGAAAAACGTTCACCTTATCGTTACCGTCGTAGGTGTTATTCCGGTCGCCGCCGTGTTTATTACGGTCGCTGCCGTCGTTATTACGGTCGTCGCCAAGGATATTTCGGTCGCCGCCGTCGTTATTTCAGTCGTGGCCAACGATATTACGGTCTCCGTCGTCGTTATTACAGTCGTCGCCGTCGTTATTCCAGTCGAAGATACAGCTACTAGTGATAGAGATCGAAGCCTTCAATAAGAAACATTTTTTACGTGGTTTTCCAACTAAATTGTAACTTGCCTTAATGTAGGAAAAATAATAAATGCTTGCAATGATCATTAAATGGATGTAAACGATGAATGACTGATGGATCATATGTTTGCAAGTAAAACAATGAAAAAAATAATGAAACTAAAAAGTGCTTTTTTGTTTAAGTTTGAATATGAAATGAAGCAATTGTAAGCATGCTCAATTACTATTATGATTACTACCAACTATAACAAGGAAATCCAATTTATTGGAAACAAATATTGTAATAATGCACGAAAGGATCTCGTGGGAAGAAACAAAATTTAACAAGGACGATGGTGCATGTTTCGAGTATGTGGACAAAAAACAGTCTTAAAAAACAGTCAGAGCAATGTAATTGGAGATGATGGCGGTTTTCTTAACCCCTGCCGATGCTGCTAACAGTAGTTTAACATTCTAGCAAAAACTGTTTAGAAACTTGAGACTGTTCTGAAGCCAGTTTTCCCAACAGATAATGGACGCAATTTGCTATACATTTGTTCATAACAAACTAGAACAGAAAAACAAAGAAACAACCACCATTGTCCAGTTACGAACAAAGGCATGTGAAGGAAAATATATCAGTGGTGAGCATAAACAGCTTTTGGTTGTCTTTATGAAGAACTGCCACGAAACAATCTGTTATTACGTTTTCTGAATACACAATAAAAACATTTCTTTGTGATGCTGAAATCTGGAAACAATAAAGCAAAAAAAAAATCACTACATTATACCACATATCTAGATCTAGACCTTTGGAGTGATAATGTAAAATACTCTCATGATGATATACAAATGTTAAATATGACTGACAACTGTTAGAAGTGAAATGTTTTGCAAAAAAGTCTACTTCCCATATAATTATTGTAAGTCCATCAATGACAAAGTTTTACAACTAAAGGTGAATGCTGAAAGCTCCTTGCAATTGTTGTCATTTAATCGCCCAAAAATCGGGAGCAGTTGTAAAAGTTGAATCTGTTTTAATTTTTAAAGCAATTATAACACTTGTCAACATAAGAAATTTGTATGGGATCGCTAATCATAGATGGCAAGTTATGTTTTCTTTCCATTTCTCTCACAATTGTGCCAGATAAGAACACGCATTCTTTCATACAGAATCAAAAAATTTTGACGAAAGTTTAGTAATTTGAACATTTATAATCATGTATTGTCCGGTGTATGGCTGCAAAGCGATAGTAAAAAAGACAAAGAAAACGGAATACATCACTTTTCATTTCCTAAACCAAAAAACAAGGAGGAAAGCAAAAGGCGAAGTATTTGGATAGAATTCTGCAAGCTTTAAAAATCCCTACATTTCGCCTTCGAAGCATTTCTTCCCGGACATTCTCCAGATTTTTTAAAGTCAACTAATTTTGTCGGTAAACAAAAGGTAATGCTAAAACCTGATGCTGTACCAACTGAAAATAAACCACTTAACAAGAAACAAAATAACTCTTCAGAACAAAGAAATCAGCTGGTTCTCTTTCACGAAAAAAAGTGAGCACTTTATAATCTTGTGTTTTCTTTATTACCTTAAAAATTAATAAGATACGAGAATTTAATTTGATTTTGGTATTTTTTGAAAGAGGGAAACTAGTACATATTTTATGGGTTTTTTTCCAGGAGGTTGAAAGTTTAATTTCTTACGCTGAATGTATGACCGTGTCCGTAAACAATCAATGCAACAAAGAAGATATGTCGACTAATTGCAAATGGGAAATTGGCACAACAGTACACCCCCAAGATTCATATATGGGTGAAAAAACAAAACGCTGTTCATTAGGCGTTCAGATCATTTTTGGTAGTATCCCAATGATCATGATGAAAACTAAGGCTACCCAAACTTTTATCAGTTCTGTGTCGCTAGATAGTCTTTTTACCAGGAACAAGTCGTCAACATCTACTCAAACTGATTCAACCAATAATTTTTATAAAAAACGACATAATGGATACAAAAACAAAATATTCTGACAAAGACTGTCCAGAAAAATCGACGTCGGAAAATCATGAAAACGCTAATGTCTTTGAATATCGGGACATGTTTTAAGTACAAGAAACTCTATGTAAAAGCGAAGAACAATACTTACCATCCTTAGATGAGGAAACATAATCTAATAAAGAATTTCATTAGACTGATGAAAACTGCAATACAAAAATATTGTTTACCACTCACAAATCTTTCACAGATGAACTTAATTTCATTATATGCGAAGAATCAATAGCCAGGACGTTTTCTACTTGCTTCAAATGTGTGAGTCGGTGTATTGTAAATGTTGGAAGTGTAATTGGTTGTTTTTGTAGGATTTCTATCTCCTGTTCTAGAACAACAGAACACGACATTTCTTGGTCTACAAGGCCAATTTCAAAACCGTTTACCTGTTTTAAATCTGCTTTTCAGTGGGCAAATCGACGTCGAATTGACGTCGGCTTTCTCTACATTTCTTAATATAAATGTTCTCGCCCGACATTAAACTTTCAATAAGGCCATAGATAGAAGATTTTATTAACAGTAGCGTTTTGTCTTTAACTTAAGAAATATATCGTTATACATAGGAAGTTTGAAAATATGAATACTAATTATACGATATTCACAAAGTGTTAGGTTACAAAGTGTGATGATGATTGATGACAATGTGGTGAGATTTTGTGTGTTTAGCAATATAATGGGTTTGAATGGAGAATCTCTGTAAATATCGATCGTAAAATTAGATAAATTTTTTCAAACTTCCTATGTAGAATGCATTTCAGTCAAATGATGTCTTACAATTAAAGACTAAATATTACTATTCATAAAAAGTTTTTCGTTGTGAAGTAATTAATCTTTTCCATTTGCCAAAATGATTTAACGCTTCGCTGAATCCCGGCTACCTTGCTCATGTAATCAGACCCTCGAAACTGAATTGCAATTCGGTAAGAAAAACTTCTAATTAATTAAGTTATACTAACTAATTTAAGTTATACGCCAGTCTGTTTGGCCGCCATGTTGGAGGTCAAAAAGAAAAGAATATATCCGTGGGAAAACGTTATTGTTTTCTATTGCCCCTTTGATTGATTGAAATTGAAACCAACAATTCCTGAGTTTTGATTCCGCCATGTTGGATCACAAGAATATATTATGATTATCAATATCTATTAGGACATATTAACAAACAAATTGGGACATTGGAACAATAGCATGAAAAAATGGGCTGAACTCTAATTAGAAATTCTTCCAGGGTTTTTCTGGACTTGGTCGTGCAACAGCATTAGTAGGCAATCTACATATCACAAGCAAATGTATTTTCAGTGATTTAAGATTACAGATTTAAGATTACAAACTAAGAGATAATATACTTGATGAATAAGGACGTATTTTACATATTTACATATATGAGCACTTGTGTCAAATATATCTTGAGGGTTCAAAAAACAGCTGTTTGTCTTTTTATTACAGCACGAGGCCAAGTTTTCAATAAAAATGGAAAAACTGTAGGGAAATCTGTTCTGGTGGTGATCACAAATCTAAGTCTTATAGTTTATCCCAATTGTACCTAAATAAGCCTGAAGAACAAAAACCGTTCATGAAATTTCCCTTTATTGATACCAATTTTGTGTGATGTCTACCCAATGTTAGTGGACAAAAAAGATTCAACTTGACCTTTTATAATTAAGGGGGATGATGAAAATAACACATAGTTACAACAACAAAACTATCTATAGAACAGGAAACATATGTAAGTGATTCAAAAGCAAACGTTTTTCGATCTGAATTAGCTTAAATTTGTCTTCCTGTGCAGCGCTTCTAAAAACACAACACTTTTTTGTCTAATACTCCATAGATTAATAGATTGACGGCGTGCGAGCCGAGAACTCTAAAACAATAAGCAACTAATAGATTTACCAAGTTAGTTTCTGCGGAATAAAACATGTCCAACCGAGCTGTCGTGAAATAAATATGACCCAATGCAAAGCAGAAAACCGTGCTGATGCAAACGAAAAATGTGTTACGATTCTGAGTGTGTCTTTGAAGACTTGAGTTGGATTGTAGATAAGACTGTGAGACATTGGAGAATGCTTTTAGTGCTTTTTTTTGTTTGATCAACACTCGAGCGATTATGGAGTAAACCACAGTCATGAACATTACTGGGATTATGTAGAAACAGGAGTAAAAAGCAAGCAACGTATAAATGTAATAACGACCTTCAGGACCTAAAATGCACGGTTGAGTTGCTACTTCAACTGCCATAAGAAAACCAATGATGTACGCTAAGCCACAAACGATTTTTATCTTTCGTTGACTGAAAGAAGATTTCAATGGATGAACTATCGCACGATAACGTAAAAATGAAATGATCAACATCATAGATACTCCACTTATTTGAAACCAAACAATTGTGCCATCCATACGCACGCAGTTGAACGATGTAGTGACTCTTATGATGTATATTGGAAATATTTTTAGCAGTACCAGCAACTCACATATCGCGAGATGCAAGACAAGAAAGTAAAAGTTCTTCTTTAACAAAATCTTTTGTTTTAATACCGAAGCGATCACAAGACTATTTCTAATAACGCCAAATGAACATATCGCAAAAATTGAAAATGTATAAGCTTCCATGACGATAAAATTGATGTATCTGAGCTACGTACTAAATGTCGCTACTAAATGTAGGTGAAAACGGACCAATCAGACACAATCAAAGATTATGCTGAGAAAATCCTTAATTCCAGCAGTGGATCGCGCTGCAGCTGTACTAAATGCTAATAAGTAGTTTAATTCCCAAGAATGAAATGCATTAAATCATTTAAGATTTTCTTAAATCAATTAGATTTTTTGAACTAAAACGGTTTCACTTAACGTGTATCATACATTTGCTCAGTACTTTCATACACAATATTCTTTTCATTAGTTATAGAAAAATGCCAAAACGATTACTATGAAATTATTATTTATACCGAGTAGTTTGTCAAAACATCTCCTTTATTTTACGCAATTGTTTTTCCAAGTAAAATCTATGGCGTTCCCAGTTCCGGTTTAAATTATATCAAGTCAATGTGTCATGCTTAATTGACACGACAACGTATTATCA